CACAGATCAATAATTATATATGCTGTAAATAAAATGCAACTATAAATTAAATGAAAATCAAACACTAATCATAAATATAACAAAATACAAATAATTATTAATAGAAAAAAAGAAGATAAATAGCTGAAGGAAAGCGAGAAAAATGGCGCAAAAAATACACACCTCACACTCGCTAATTAACACGTGAACTAAATTAGCGCCAATTCTTGACCTCGCGGAAAAATTTACGGGAAAAAAATAACGCCAAATGCTCGCCAAGCTTTGTTGCCAACGGAGATATCAAAGGTACATATCCGGTGATGACGTAGAACACACTTCCGGGTTCCGATTTGCGGAATTCTGTAAAACTCGAATTCGCAACAAGAACTAAGCTGAACTGAGATTAAAGCTCGGTAGCTTTCTGGGCATGGTCTTCTAGACAGGCTTCAGCGTTTCCGTGTTCCTTTCTGATGACGGATAGTTATGTCATATTCCTCGAGTCTCTGCGTCTATGTCATATTCCAGGAGTCTGGCTATTTAGCCTTCAGGATTCTTGAAATTGAAAAGCCAGGTCAACGATGCATGGTCTGTTCGGAGCAGGAATTTTATGCCGTAAAGATAATGATGGAAATGTTTTACGGCTTTTCCTATGGCGAGCGACTCTTTCTTGGTAACGCAGTAATTCCTTTTCGGTTTAGATAGACAATTGCTCCAGTATCTACCACACGTTCTTGACCGTTTATTTCTTGAGACAAAACATCACTATCACTGCTTGCATCCGTGTCGAGAATAAATGGTTTGTCGAGCTGAGGATATGTCAGGATTGGAGCATATGTTGGAATTTCCTTCAGGTTGTTAAACGCATTCTTTTGTCCACAAGAACTTCAGCTTATGAAGGCGTCTTGCGACGAAAGCAAAGCCCTTCACAAATCTCCTACAGTAGGTGCTAAACCCCTGGAAAGTTCTCAGCTGATGGACATTTTCGCAACGTCTCCAGGTAACTGCCGGGTTCGTCATAGATTGAATGCACATAGAACCGATGATAGCTTGATAAAATTTATTTTTACCAAAGAAACACTTCACAGTATCTCAGAATAACAATTTGGCGACGATATTTAGTCGCGTAACCATCGCCATCCTGGCGATATTTTGCAAGTTTACAGAGATAGCCATTTACCCAATGTTAAATAGACTTGGCACTACACTCCCAAAATTATATGTAAAACATTTTTTAACAATATATATATTTAAATAGCACAGATTCAAATTACTTTTTATTATTATTACTTATTTTGCTTCTTGGGAAATCCACAAAAAGCACCGTTTTAAAATTTGCTCACCAACAATTTTAGTACCATGCACTGAATAATCAGCCCAAAAGGGCTATAGTCTCAAAACGGCATTTTGCGTTGAATAACTCAAAACCAAGGAGGTTAGAATAGAAGGAGGGAGGGTTCGCAGTTTCCTCCACTATCGGGGAATGAAACTCCACGGAACAAGAGGCGTCCATGTTTGTTACTTCAAAACATTGCAATACGGTAGTGAAACGTACGTGTTTGTAAGCTGTTCTATGCATGAATTTTCCAGTAAAAAATATGTTAAATTTATAATGAAATGCTTCGCTATTGTTAGTTTTTTGTTTTAAAGTTATAAAGATGATATCTGTAATTTACTAAGTACAGAAAATCATTAAGAAATATTTCGAAATCTAAATGCACGTGCATAACATTAAAGCCTTTAAAAATTATGTTTCTGTATAATTTAAAGAATTTGTTTAGGTTTTATTAGCAACTTCTCGGGTATACTTTCCAATTGTTTCTTTAAGAAGTGATATTTCTGATTTATTCGCAATATTATTATAATTTATTAAAGAATCAGTTTTACCTGAAATTAATAGCAGATAATTATCTCAAAAAGTGGTAACATGTTGCTTTTTTTTTAAATGAAAGTTTTAAATAGATTCTTTTCACAACCAACAACCTTATATCAACAAGAAAATAAATATTAATAAAATAAAACAGATTTATGTGATTTCAGTTTATGCGCGTTTCATATTTATGAATCTCAAAGAAATTACCTTGAATTAAGCTGAATTACAGAATTACTATGCCTATATAAAGTTTTGGATATATCTTTTCACATGTTCAATTGTGTACATATTTTACTTACTTTTATCGCTATACTGCCCAGAAATTTGTAAGCTTATGCAAAAACATTTTAACAACAGAACAGTTTATTTTGATCAAATGCACAAATTATATTCGTAACAGTTCACAAAACTTAAGAATGAATAATAATTAATACATAAAGAAAAGCGTTGCTTTATTTAACACCTTTACAATTCATAAAAATAGTAACAATTGATTTCTTACTTTTCATGAAAATTATAAAACGAATTATCTAAGCGTTCAAATTATACAGTTTAAATCCTAGCATATATCATTGTATGTTAAGGAACGAAGATACCAGGTGTAAGCAAAAACATTAAAATGTATTTAACATGTTTCGATTATTATCAAGTCTTTTTTGTCATATCTGGAAAGAAAAAAACATGACATTGTAATATTTTTTAACATATTTATGAAATTACATAAAAAAAAAAGAAAATCAATACTTAAGAGTGAACAGTAATCCAAGGAATATTTTTCGAAAATTTATTTGTGCATCCATATGTAATATAAGCTGACATGCTTAAAAGAAAAGGTGGGAAAATGTTACAATTACATAGACTTCCTTGCACAAGTCACAGCGATAACAGTAACATGGCCGCCAAGCTTCACCGTTTGAGTTGAACCTTCCCTCCTTCTATCTAACCTCCTTGCTCAAAACGCTGAATCATTTTTCAAAGTGTTGCCACCAAACATTATCGCCCTACACTATATTTAAAGAAACTAAATAATGAACAGTCTACTACATGAATGTATGTTTCTCGCAATGTGAAAAAGCAACGGTACCTAGAGCCATCACATTTTGAATAACGTAATCCGCCACCCGAATATGAGCACCTGGAAGCCCGAATTTGGAATTTCTAACTTGTTTTACTGCCTATTTCATATTTTTTAAAACTTTGTAAAAAAGAAATTTTGATTAACCACTCAACCATTCCAAAGCGGGCAATGGCAACACTCTACAGAAACAAATACTTTAATCTCCAGCGCGCGAGAAAATCTATTAGAATTTTTAAAGCTGTGCTGTTTTTAAATATTTTTGCCCAAATGCTCTCAAATCGTGTATGTGTGTGTAAATGAAAAAAAGTCGGCTGTGACATTAAAAGTAATTGCTTTTAATATTTATAAATTTAATCTATGTTTTAAACATTATTTATGGCTGTTAAATATTAAATACAATTTAATTTTGCATTTCTTTTTTAAAAAATGATTTTATTATGTATGATTATTTAAATAATTTTAATTCTAGGGCGTGATATAATCAGCTCTCTGATTGGTTATAGAATATTTGTGCATTAATGAGCTGTAATCAGTTCCCTGATAGGTTGCTGAAAATTTGTGCATTACCCGCGTCATTTTAAAATTTAATTCATATCTTCGAATTCCTTCAAAATGTCTCCTTCAAAGATGAATGTTTTTGATAAGTACCAAGAATTTTTGGTTTCGGAATCAAAAAATTGTCCTTTGAGACCTTATTTTCGCCAGCCTGGCTTTCCTAATCAAAGATTTATTTATAAATTCTTACAAGGGTAAGAGGAAATTTATTTTAAATTTTTGGAGGAAACGTCGCTAATTGCTTCTTCAATGAAGTGCGAAAATGTAGATCACAGATGAAGATCGTTAGAAGAGCCCATTCTGAGACGGCCGTATATGATATTGTGGTCATGTTGGAAGAAATAACCGCTGTAACGGTAAGAAAATTATTAGACATTCCTCCTTTTTAACCGACAATAAACTAATTGCTGTCATTTTAGCTCTAGTGTACGAAGCGTTCTTATTTACTCATTTTAAAGTATTTAATTTAAGTAATATTTTAATTCTTTTAAACGTTGGTATGATGGTTTTTAATTCGATATTCAATTTAATCCAATTAAACGTTGGCGCTATGTTTTTATAGTGGTATTTTTATTCTATTTCTGTGCTATATGAAAGTAATAATTTAACCTTTCTTTAGTATTTTATACTCGTAGTAAATGTATTTATTCTATATATATATATATATATATATATATATTATATTCTATATAACGTATTTAAAGTATTTAAATTTAATAATATTCTAATTCTTTTAAATGTTGGATGATGTTTTTTATTTCGATATTCAATTTCAGTAATATTTTAATCTTAATTAAACGTTGGCACAATGTTTTTAATAGCGGTGTTTTTATTCTCATTTCTTTGCTATATGAAAGTAATAATTTAACCTTACTTTAGATATATTTGATACTCATAGTAAATGTATTTATTTACACTTCGGCCTGCCATCTTGAAAAACGACATTTTCAACAAAAAAATTAATCCATTATTTACTAACCGATATCGCATTTTTTTTTTTTAAAGTTTCGAATACTTTACTATGCGTAAAAACAGCGTTTTTCAAGATGGCTGACGTTTGTAGAAATGGCGCCAACGTAAATCGCCAAAAATCCGTGCAACCGTCTGCCAAAGTAGCACCGATTGAAGTTTGAATTAAATATTTGCTAACGACAATTATTTAAAGAAAGAGACAATAAGATTACAAGAAAATTATGAAAATAAGTCAAGCCAAATATTTATTTTATCACTTATCATAGGAATAATGAAATTGGCGATATTTATTGATGGTATATGGCAATCTAGAAATAAGTCAATTGTTCAACGATTTTATCGAATTTTTAATTTTGAATTCCTTTATTTTTTCCAAAATTTACATTTGATGTCATATTTTTTTTTATAAATTTGTTCTCTTATTCGATAATTAAAACCGTCTTAAATAATAAATTAATAAACTATGAGCATTATTTTAGTCAAAAGTTATTACATTCAGTCAAATATTGTACACAAGAAATTTATCCAGAATTTCAGGTAACTTGCTCATTCTTCAGGAGCAGCGGTCTTACGACGTCGACGGCGTCTGGAACTCTTTCCTGATGCTTTCCTTCTTGATGATCTCCTTCGTCGCGATCTTGCCTTTTTAGGAGATGCACTCCTTCTTCTGCGCCTGCGACTTCTGGGAGCCCCAGCTGACTTACCTCTCCTTCTGCTGGGACTTCTTCGCCTTCTACCTCGTTCCATGACTTTATAATGGCCATCCAGTTTTGATAAAATACCTCGATCTACGGCACTCTTCAAGAATAATTTTATCTCAGCGTCAATGGATTTGACGTCTAGCTTCTGACTGTTGTTGAGGAAAGTCTTCATATCCCGAAGAGTAGCTCCTTTGCTGCCCTGAATTTTGCGAATAGTGTTCAGAAGTAGGCGTCCAAATCCTTTTTGCTGCTGAGCATCATTCTTCATAGCAGCTCCTGAAAATTCCATTTTCGTGGGTTTTTTGGACTCGTTTCCTTTATTTTCACCTACATTCATGGCTTATATAAAGAAATTATGATTACTGAAAATTATTATGTTGATTAATCAGAACTGGTAAGGGACTGGGAAATAATTCAATTGATAGTTTGAAAGTGATAATATGAATCGTCAGAAAAAATTCATAATGAAGTGACAGAATTCTCGCGCAAGATGTATGTGCAACAAAATACTCGTGTATTAAATACAGTTAAGGTTTAAAGAAAAGAAAAGGACATGCATTACATTAAACATTCATTTTATAAAATTTTACTTAGAGCGCGAGACGTAATCTACGAGCAGTCTTAATTTTATCTATGAGAACAGCGTTCAAAAAACCTAAATACTCAAAGATTTGAAAATTAATATTTGATACTGGCAACACAAAAAACATGAAATTTGGTGAATTATCTATTCCATTTATGGAGAAGAAATTACAGAATTCCAGTTACGGGAAGAAAATGTTTCAGCCTGTGATTTGAATAAATTGTAAACATTTTATACTTATTTAATAACTAATGCACTGCGATTAGTTTGCAGAAATGGCAGCTTTATCTGATTAATGGATAAAGAGAAGATCTCTGGATGAGGTGAACTTGCGATCCTATACCTTAAATTAAAAAAAATAAAAAAAAAATAAGAGATTTTTTTTATACATGAAATTTATCAAAGTGTCCTCGACATCAAAATGGCCACACCTCTGTGGCAGTCACCTTTAAATTTGAGAAAGCAGCGTTGGTAAATTTACCAGCATCCTTTTCTAGTAAAATTTAAGTTTGCCTTATTCATCCAATATTATAGTCCTATTTCCATCAGGATGTTTTGGAATAAATTTGTGACTCTTTTATGGCGCTTGGTTTTTTTTCCCAAGTAAAAAAAAAATTGTAAGGATATATTTATGCGGGAAGCCCTTTCACGAATGTTTCTGGGCTGGTGAACATTGGTTGATCTACATGAAAGTGCCTACGGACTCAATGAAGTCTCTGAGAACTTTAGTTAGTATATAACGATATGGCAGTTCATCGCTAAAAGCAATGCCTATTATTGAATATACTATAGCAATCAGAATCAGTGTAATTTTCATAGATTTGCATAGTTTCAGAAGTTTGGATATAGAACCTCCTTCATCTGCAGCAAGTGAAAATGACGAGAGAAGCCTGCATTTATGCGATAAGAATATACCAGAAAATTCGAAAAAGTTCCATTAAGGAAAGAGGCATAGCTACTGGCGCCAGCTGTTGAAAAAAAAAAAAAATAGAAAGCAACTTCGAAATAAAACTCTTCCTTAAAAGCTGAGTAAAGATGGTTGGAAATTTGAAACATTAACCAGAACTGAGAGATTTTTATGAATATGAAACACCTTTAGAAAATCTAATTCGCCAAAGAAACATATTTTTGTTTATATATATATATATAAACATTCTGGCTGCAGAAAAATGGAAAATTTGATTTTTTGACCAACAATTTTGGACAACAGCCGATCTTAAGTGTTTCGTTTTTCCTAACATATGCCTCATGTCTCTTAATTCGAAAATTTTATCCTCTCTTAGTTTGACCAAAATATATTTAACTAGATGGCAAGGAATACTGTACACATATACGCCAGAACTTCATATCCGGAATGGAGTCTAAATAAGGAATTGCAAAATTAAAAGAACATCCTCTCTTGCCAAACATTGTTGGTCAAAAAATCAGATTTAAAATTTTTCTGCACTCAAAATTATTAAAAAAAAACATATTCCCTTAGTGAATTACATTTTCTAGAGGCGTTTCCTATTCACAGAAATCTTTCATTTCTACTTGAGGATCCAAATTCCAATCCGTCTTTACTTTCAGTTTTCAAAGAAATTATTCCATAGTTACTTTCATTTTGTAGCAATAAATGGCTCCAGCAGTTTTGCTTTTTCCCTTAACGAAATTTTAAAAAATTTTCTGGTCTATTGTTATCGCATGAGCACAGATTTCTCCTTAATTTTCTCTTATAGCTGATGAAGAAGGTTCTATAATCAAACTTCCGATACTAGTCGTGCAAATTTACGAAAATTAGGCTGATTGTTTACTTCCCTGTACGAAGTAAAAAGGAAGTATTCTAATCACAAAAAAATTCGGGTATCAAATTTCAACGAAAATGTCCATTTTTACCGCTATCGAATGCAATTTAACGATGTTTTTGCGTGACATCTGTAGGTAAGGACAGAATAATGGACTCTTTTTTTCCCCAAAAATAATTAAAAAACTGATTTAAAATTAATTCTGAAGAGATTTTTTTCGTGGCGTCTGTACGTACGCACGTACGTATGTATCTCGCTTTACTCAAAACCAAATAGTTTCAGGACATTGAAATTTTGTATACATGACTGCTATAACATGTAGATGTGAACCTCCCATTTTAGTTGCAATCGGCCACACCAAAAATTATATAAATATATGTATATATATATATTCATATGTGTTATTCGGCTCGGTGAGATCAGTTCTTTGTTCTTATACAGTGGCTCCCAAAATTGTTCGTACACTTATGACTTTCATTGAAATAGGGCTCTATCCATTAATTAAAAGTGAACTTTCTAAATGAGATTTTAATAATAAGATCTATAATCTATTCGTAACAAAATTACATGAAATATTTTTAAAATGTAGCAAAACTTTATTTTTAAGAAATTAATAATAAAAAAATGACAAACATTTTATCTCACAAATGTCTTCGTACATTGAAATATTTTTGGATAAAATCAAAATTAGAATCATCGTTTACCGCTTTTTTTAATTTTTGCATTGTGGTGGCATTTAAAAAATCGTTTGCTTTAATTTTTGATTGTTTACTTAATAATATTCTATTTATTATTGAAAAATGGGTCGCAGTTTTAAAGAAATTATAAACAGCATTCGAAAACTGATAATTTTTCACCATTGTCGTGGTAAATCAATTCGAAATATCGCTAAATTAGTTAATTTATCCAATTCTACAGTGAAATATGTGATAAAACGCTTTAAAGAAGAAAATCGGATTGAAAACAAGGTAAGAAAAGTTCGACCGAGAAAGTTAATTAAAGGTAATGAGAAACTTATTATTAGAAAATCTGTGAAAAATCCACGTTTGAGTGTTGTAAAAGTTTCTGCAGAATTTAATGCAAAGTTTTCTACTTCAATTTCACCTGAAACTCTCGACGAGTTCTCAGAGCAGCTGGATTACATGGCCCATAAAAATTTTTTTGATACTGAGAAAAACAGAAAGTTTAGGCTTTCATTCGCAAAATCGATGATAAATACACCCGAAACGTATTGAAATAGTGTCTTATATGCTGACGAAAGCAAATTTAACATTTTTGGTTCCGATGGTCGAATGGAGAAGAAAAAATGAGGAACTTCATTCTAAGAACTTAGTTGGAACAGTTAAGCATGGCGATGGAGGTGTTCTTGTGTGGGGGTGTATGGCAAGGACTAGGTAATTTGGTATTTATTGATAGCATAATGAATCATTCTCTTTATTTAAATATTTAAAGATACAATTTAAAATTATCAGCCCAAAATTTGTGTATTGGAAACAACTTTATTTTTAATCATGATGACGATCCTAAGTATACGGCTCTCAACGTTCGCCTGTGGTGTCTCTGTGGCGTTCCGACAGATACTTCAACTTCTATTCATGAGATGGCGCCACGTGTAAAATCCAGTTCTTAATCGGAGCAGCAAAGCGACATTTTTACTCACTCAGACTTCTCGTCACACAACTGTACGCGAAGGTAGCATGAACTGTGTTCCGAGCTCTGTGTTGATCTCTTCAAAAATGTGTGAACAGCCTTTAAATTGTAATTTAGTACTTAATATATTCTTTTGTTACAGTTGAAATGTCTACTCTTGTTTCCTTAAAATTTATTATGCAATAAGCACACAACCACCAAAAGTGGTGACCTTTTTGACTGAGCACGCTGCCAACAATGAATTTTCATGGGCTGTAAGCCACATGCATCTGCAGCGTTTTGAAGAACTAACTCAAAATAACGACGAAGATGGACATTAAAAGTATGCTACAACGTATCCATTCAATTATTTTTACAAAAATTGTGTACATATTTCTTGTGTTTTTTTAAAGTCGTGCATATCATCTTAGTGAGCTTTAGCAAAACGTCAATGTGATTTGTTCCATTCCGTGGACTTCGCCAGTAGTGGAATCATTCTTCGATCATTCAACTTTTGTGACATGTGCTACAACAGTGATTTTCGCTAAATGTTCTACATCAGTGATATTTTTGAAACGTGCTATGGCAATGATCTTTCCTCAGTGTTTGACAGTAATGAATTTCTTTCCCATGTTTTACAGAAGTGATTTTTTTCTTCGGTAATATGCCTCAACAGTGAATAGTGTTGATTTTTGTGTGTGTGTGCAATAAAAAGTGAACGTATCTTTTTTCTCAAATAGGATTTTCCTTTTCAAATGCATTTCGATAAAATATTATTTGTATGTGTAATTGCCGGCCCTATATTATTTGTGTGTATCGTGACTTAAAAGATTAATTTTTCATCGCAAAATATTAATAGCGTATCCCCATGCTAAAATATTTGTGCAGGTAAGTGATAATCATTCAAAGAGAAAATTATTTATCAATATGCCCGAAGATATTCAACCAGAGCCACAAATCACACGCGTTGCGGTGAAGCCACCGCCTTTCTGGAAAAATAATCCTTCATTGTGGTTCGCTCAGATCGAAGCACAATTTTCTATCGTTCGCATTAGTGAGGATTCTACAAAATTCAACCACGTAGTTGCAGCACGTAGTTGCAGCTAATGCTGCACCTTCCGGTTCATCCCTCGAACAAAAAAGTGGCTGAATTGACCAAAAAAGTATCTGAACTCTCTACAAGTCTTCATGCTTCACGGAGATACAATCGATCAAATCAGGCCCACGTAATAAATTTCGTGCCCGAAGCAGTGTCAATCTCGTCACAATCAAGTCATCTGAACTCGCAATCGCACTCACAGATACAATCGGCACGTACAAAGAACCCACAAGGGCATATGT